TCCAATAATAATTTATATTCGTTTCCATCTTTCACATATTCACGACCGGCGTGTAGGCCGTGGCTGAATGCACTGAAGTGTTATNCTTTCACATATTCACGACCGGCGTGTAGGCCGTGGCTGAATGCACTGAAGTGTTATTATCATGAATAACACGAGAAAGATAGTTTTCCCAGGAGGAATGTTCAAGAAGATCAGCCATGTGAGCACGTAGTCCAAGTTTAATGCTTTTGTTTGTCGCCCCTACCTGATTGGCTTGTGGATGGTACAAAGGCGTTTTCATGTGTTTGATATTATAATCGGCGCAAAGCTTAGCGAAAGTTTGACTGATGAATTGAGGACTATTATCTGATATAATGGGTTCGGGGCAGCCATTCACCGTGAATATATGTCGAAGATAATTGACTACGGATATGGCGTTTGCGTTTTTCATGGGCTGCACCCAGACATATCGCGAGTAACAGTCGATGGCTACGAAGATCCATTGGTTACGCGTTGTAGGCATGGGCAGCTTACCGACGAAGTCAATCGATAATTGTCTACCCGGTCGTTTTGGTTCTCTATATTCGCCGTGAGGTGTTTTGGTGTTCTCATTACTTGGTTTAATGCGGTGGCAGAGTTCACATTGCCGAACGTACTGGTAAACGGACTCATACATGTTTGGCCAGTAATAGCGTTGTCAGAGAAAATAAAAATAAATGTAGGTTTCAAACCCATTTATTTATTATTATTTCATGGTAGGAGAGTTTCTCAAACAATATAGAAGTAATTTTTTCGATTTAAGTAATGAATATCTATATACCGGGGCTAATCCCGGGATCCCGGGATTGTGACAACGCCATCCCGAAAATCCCGGGATCGGAAAAAGCCGAAAAATTAACATCCCTAGTATGTATGTATCTACACATGTTTACGTTTGTGCCGTTGTGTTTTTATTTAAGTAATAATGTTAGTTTTTAGTCTTAGGATTAGTTGCATTTTTCTTTTTCTTTTATTTCTTATTTTTTATTCTTTTTTTATTTTATTTTTATTTTTACCTATTGTTTTTCATTCGTTGCTTTATGTTTGTGCTTTACAATTACTGTTGTACTATAAAAGGGCTTTAAGATCTTATTGTACTAATGAGTTTCTTTAATAAATGAAATGAAATGAAGTGAAAGAACCATCGAAACGGTCTGGCAAGTGAGGAAACATCTTTTCATAGTTCCCCAAGTGACATATCGTTGGCTTAGTTCGCAAACGTGCTAAGTCCAATTTTTATGTAATATTTAATACTTGCGCCGGGTATTTAATGTTCGGCTCCGCCCGAACTTAGACTTTCTTACTTGTTATTTTTCAGGAGGGACAAAAAACCGTCTAACTTTTTTTGTTGTCAATATTTTTCTAATCTGTAAATGCAGTTTTATTCCTTAGTTCGTCTTGTTTTAGTACCAATAATCGGCCAATTTCAAAATAAAGCTGTTGCAGACTTATAGGCTCTTTTAGGACCTACCACATTTTCTCTTTAAGATTATATTCTTTTAATGTGGACTTAGCACATTTTCTACCAACCTTTTTTCTATTATTTTTTATTGTTAAAAGATTTAATTGTTTATTTTAAATATATTTTATTGTTTTAAAATGATTTATAACCTAATACAGTTTTATTTCATTTCTATTAACAAAAATAACTATTTTAAGTCGTGAATTTATGTACCATTTATAAAAGAAAATAATTAAAAGCAAGTAAAGAGGTATAAGTTTGGGCGAAACCGAACTTTATCTACCCGGCGTAGGTATCAAATACTGTCGTAAGCAGGGGCTTTTTCCCGATTTCAAACGTTTTCGATAATATCCTGAGTTAAACTCAATGAAATAATTGAACCACGTTTAGTAGAAATCGCTAAAGTGGCTACCGAAATACACCTTGTAGTCATAAAGTGGGCGGTATCACGCAGTCTTATTTATTGTTAAGAGATTGTTGTAAGTATTAACTTGGAGTAAATTAGCGTCTTCAGTTATTGAAATATCAGAGCATCCGTATTTCTGAAATTTACCGTTAGATATACGGGAAGCGAATGTAATTTTGGTCCGATTTGAATAATTTTCAACGAATTGCTTTTCCGTACCAGGTTTATTAAGTGCACCGAGTTTGGTAGAAATTGATAAATCGGTTACCGAGTTACACATTTGTGGTCATAAGTGGGCGGCGCCATGCCCATTATCCAAAAATGTATCATAATCTAATTTTCTGCTCAGTGGTTATCGCGATCATCGATTTTAAGTGAATTAGATTTTCAACAGATTTCTTAGCTAGACCCTAAATAAGGCTCGTACCGAGTTTGGTGAATGGGCTACTGAGATATAGCATTTCATAATAAGTCGGCGGGGTCACGCCCATTTTCCAAAAATTGCACAATAATATTTTTTACAAAAATTCTACTTCACATACTAATTTTGAACAATTTGCATCCAATATTTACTGAAATATCGTAGTTTTTGCATCTTTAGGAAATACCTTTATATCGGAAATGGGCGTGGTTACATTCCGATTCGCCCATTTTTAATAATTTACCTTGGATAAATGGAAACCTACATACCAAATTTCGTTGAGATATCTCGAGTTATCGTGTACACGGACAGACGTGTATATATATTTTTTTGATTTTTTTGGACTTAGCACATTTGCGTACCAATGCATAACAACAAGTAAAAACGACATTACGGTAATTTTCTTTTTTGGTAATGATGTGTTTTCAGTTATGCTATCTTACTGCATCAAAATCTCAAT